TCTCCCCCCACACTTCCCACCAAAACCAGGCAGGTCAAAAAGAAAGAGCACAGGATTTTGGAAAGCTCCCTGTTTCTGCAGGCAGCATTTATGCCTGCCGCAGAACAACCCTCACCTAGCAAAAGTCATTGATCTTCTTAAAATCTTGCTCCTGTTCAGTGACCATGCTGGCTCAGACCTCATGTTTTTCACCCACAGTAACTGGAGCTGCACTGACTTTTACAAGCAGAGATAAAAGCAGTGGCAAAAAGCAGGGAGTTGAGAGAGTGTGGGGGAAGAAACCAAATCTGCAGCAGAAAATCTGCAGGCCATTTTGTAATTTGAGTGGGTCCTGCCCTGATCTCATTTGCATGGGCATAAACCATTTGTAGCTATTGAGGCACATGGAGGACCCACTGCTGTTCTGAAGAAGTGCTCCTTTGCTTTCAGAAATAAAGGCTGCTTTTTCCATCTTCCAATCTAAATCAGATCAGAGGCCCAGTAATTAGTCTCCTATCTAGTGATTTATAGCTCTATCTGATATTGCAGGGCAAAAGTAACAGATTATTTGTTCTTCTTGAGATAAAATCTGTAGGGCTGTAGTGGGGATTGCACACTGAGGCCTCAGCAGCGAGCAGAGAAAGCAGACCTGGCAAAGCTCCTGGCATTTCTCATGTGCTGTCAAAGGCTTTTGGGTTCGCACACAGAGAGCTCTGGGGCTTGAGGCAACAAAGATTGTGGCAAGGTTCAAGCAGCCTGGTGTGAAGGAGCAGGGATGGGACAGGGAAGCACTTCAGCCCAGCCTGGAACAAATCCCCTTCCTTGGCTCCCTTGCCTCTTGCTCCAAGCAGACACAGTGCTGTTGAAACCTCTGAGAGATTGTCTGAAAACTGATTGTGGTTGAGCTGCTCTTGTGACTGCCCACCAAGAGCTGCATTTTCTCCGGCTGCCTTGGAGGGTGGGGTGGTGATTTGGGACATGCTTGATGAAATATGCTGCTGTGACCCTGGGCTTAAAATAACATCTGGGACAGTGTGAAGCTCAGCTCTGAGAAGCCAGTGCAGGAGGGATGCAGGTGAGCCCAAACAGCTCCTGCCCTCTGGTTCTGCATTCACTCCTGGGGTGTCCCGTGCTAGGCAAGGCACTGCCCTGGAGCCCAGGCTGGTCACATGCTTCTGCAGCTGGGGGGTTGGAAAGCACTGAAAATGAACATTTTCCCCTCCTCCACCTTCTGAGCCAACCTTGCATAATTTCCCCTTTAGCCTCCCTAGACAGGTTCATTACAATTCCCATCCATTAATATGTAAATATGCCCTAGAGGAAAAGACAGCCTGAATTTATTAACATGAATCTTTTAACTCTTTCACTGCTGCACTTCCCTTTGTGGACAGGAGGGTGCCTTCCCCAGCCTGGAAAGCTGTGAGGAAGGGAGATTGCATGAAAGGATAACCATAAGTGCCCCAAGAGGAACAGAAGGGAACCGTGCCCCTGTGGCACTCCAGGAGGGTCAGGTTTTGTTGGTAAGTGCAGAGTTGCAAGTTGCTAAGACCTTGATTCTGCCGTTCATTTCTGCCAAAGGCTTCCTGCACATGCCAGGGCAAACCACTCAACCCTTTGGCCAGCTGCTGGGAGCAGCCAGGGAAAGGTGCAGCATCTTTACGCTGCAACTTCTGTTGCGTGCCAAGAGCAGTGAGGATGTAGCTCTGTGCTTTGCCCATCCACAGCTGCACTGGCTGACCAGGAGGATGCAGGGAGTCGAGCTCTTGGGAAAACTCCAGCATAAGAAAGTCCTGGCAGGAGTTCCTGCCCAGTGGCACAGAGGCAGGCACATCTGTCAGGTAGCTGAGACCTGCAGCGTGACACAGCACATCAGGACTCCCTGAGTGCACACTGGGGCCGGGAGCCAGGGGAGCAGAGCCAGGAAAGCCTGGGGGAGCCCAGAGGGCTCACAGAGCTCAGCAACCTAGAGCTGCCCACAGCAACTATTGCCCACCCAGGGGAACTTATGCTTTGGCATTTCTCTGGGCAGAAAAGCCCTTTAGGTAGCCCAACAAATTGGCTGGCAAATCTACAGTCTGACTCTAATTTGGTTTTCACTGCCACAGTGAGATGAGGTGTAAATTCTTTTTTCTTAATTCAAGGTACATATTGACATTTAATCATCCAAATATGTGCCTCCTTTGACAATTCATTTCCCTTCAACTCTTTCAACAATTGCCTTTTCTGGCCGGGGCCCTATAAAAGATGATTCCTTGACTCTGCTGCAAAGGAAATGAATGTCTCTTGCTCTCTCTCTCTTTTCTTTTGGTTGTTTGTTTTCCAGCGGGATATATTTCAGTTTGCACCATACGGATGCTGTTTGACAGGAATATTAGCTTCCACACTTCTCTGGGTTTGCAAAGTCAGGCATGGAGCCGTGTGGTCTCCTCCAATCCCCACCCCCTTTCCCAATCCTTTCCATATGCCCTGCCCCTCCATCCCACGTAGCTGTGCTGCTTCTTTTGACTTGTGGCTTCTGCCTTGCAAGCATTTTTGGTGACTCTCATCTTAATACCTCTATAAAAAATGTTAATTAGGTCTCCTCTTGAGTTAACTGCAGTGAGGGAGAGCCCTCTTCTCCTCCAGTGGTGTATCCTGGCCTTGACTTGGTTCATTTTGGGCACTCTCGCCTTTGGGTTCAATTTCTCCACGTCTGTGAGCCACCAGCCCCAGCACAGCAGCAGCTCCAGAGGTGACCAGCCTGGAGCACAGCAATGCCCAGTGGGAGTGCACAGTGGGATTCCCAGCAGCCTGGCTGGGTGAAGTTTATTTTCCAGAAAGAAAGAGCCAAGAGCTTGCCACATCTAGACAGGCAGCAGGAAAGGATGAAGAGTGGGGAAAGGGTTCAGGCACATGGAAATACTTGAAAAACTCCACCAGATGCACATGCACACACATCTTTTCACATTCCACCCTGAAATAATGTCCTCCATCATTGCTGTTGCAAACATCCAGGGACATCAGCCCAAATGCCCTTTCCTGCACCCATGGCAATATTGCCCTCCTCTCCCCGCTCAGATCAGTTTGTCCCAATCACACACTGGATGAGAGAGGGAAAAATTAGGATGATAAGCCTGCCTCCAAGGACATACACTTTGTGCCCTTGGTTATCCAATTTTATTGTAAAACTGGATTGAATAGTGCAGAGGGCATTGGAGACACCAGGCTAGCTCATCCTAGGGTGGTGGCCAACATCTGCCCAAGGAGAACAAAGAAAACAACATGTTTTGGTATCAGGCCTTGCCCAAAACTTTTTAAGACGTTTTGATGATCCAACTTGAGTTCAAGTACTGCTGGTATGAGAGCATAATTTTCCATTTATTTGTAATCAAATTCTCAGTTTGAGTTTTTTGTCTCTGACAGCTTTCTCTAAAGGAAGAAATAATGTATCTGGTATGTTACTGGCCAGCCAGAGTCTGCTTTAATTCAGCAGAAATAGGGTTTTGCTGTTCTTGTGTTTGATGCAGGTTGGAATGGGAGATGATTAGCCTTGCAGCCCTGTTGTATGAGGCAACAGGCTCTAATTCATTCCTGGAGCGGGGTGTATTGCACAAATGGCAGCTGTGCTTCCCCCACAGCTCATCTGATTCGGCTTGGCTGGCGAAAGCTTGGCACGGCACACAAGAGCCACAGGTGCAAAGATCGGGCTGACTCAGGCCGAGGGAGAGCCCAGCCGCGGTCAGAGAGCAGAGGCTGAAGGATGCAGGAGTGTCACAGCTGCAGCTCCTGCACGTGTGTGCTCGGCTGCCTTCCTCCCAGGCAGGCAGGCACACACAGCAAGGTGTTACCTCCGGGTGAACAGGGCAGGGGAAGGCAAGCTCCTCTCCAAGTGCTGCCCTCTGTGAAATGCAGTGATGGGGCAGAAGGGCTTGAATCACCACTGGGCCCCTAACCTTACACACACCACATCCAGGTCCACACTGGGATAGCTGAACACCTCCAGGTCTCTGAAGCAGACTCACCTGGGACTGGCCGGCATCTGTTTGCAGGAAATGCCCCGAGCATGGTCGCTGGCATTGTGGTTTGGATGCTGCTTCTGTTTGAAAGCAGTCCAAAAGGGGACTTTGGGGTGAAATGGCTGCTTGGTATTTGGCTGGTGGTTATGGGGAGACCCTCCTGGGACACTTCAGGGCTGTGCATTTACTCCTTAGGCTTTTAGCCGAAAACAGAGTTCCTCTGTGTGAGGAATTACATCGAAGAGCCCTGTCCACAGGGTCACATCACAGGCAGGTGCTGTAGTGTTTTCAGGGCTCTGCAGCTAATGAGAGGCCGTTTTCTGACAGGGGGAACGTGCCCGTGAAAGATCCGTAGTCAGAAGGACCAGGGGGACCCTGCGGAGCCGACCGCGGGCCCTGCTCAGTGCCCCCCGCCACGGCAGGCAGCCCAAGGGGAACAGAGCAAGGGGACGAAGGAGGGGGAATGTGGGAATGTGCGCAGCGTGTGCCCGGCCTGTGTGCGTGTGCCTGAGTGTGTGCGTGTGTGTCTGTGCGTCTGTGTGTATCTGTGTGTGTGTGTGTGTGTCTGTGTGTGTCTGTCTGTGTGTGTGTCTGTGTGTGTGTGTGTTTGTGTGTCTGTGTCTGTCTGTGTGTGTGTGTGTCTGTGTGTGTCTGTCTGTCTGTGTGTGTGTCTGTGTGTGTCTGTGTGTCTGTGTGTGTCTGTGTGTCTGTGTGTGTCTGTGTGTCTGTGTAGACGGGCGCGTGCCCCGCAGCATGTGCACGTGCAGCGTGCGCGACCCGGAGGGGTCCGTGCGGGGGTGACACGGCGCTGCCCGGCGGTGACAAAGGCCCGCCGCTCTCCCCCATTCACAACGCGCGGCCGGCGGGCGGCGCGGACGGATTTCCTTTTTTTTGTGAATGGAGGCGGTGACGTCGCCCGGCCCGCGCGCCGCCTCCCCTCCATTCATGCGGCCCCGGCGCGCCGCGAATGGGCGGGGCGGGGCGGGGCGGGGGCGCGCGCCG